GTTAATCGTTAATTAACGAAGTTAACATTTCTATTAACGGATTAACTTTTAAGTTAACCTTGAAAAATGTTAACGGACTCGTTAACTTCCGTTAAATTATCCTAAGTCCGTTAATCGTTAATCCAGTACCTACTATTTACCAAAAAGATACAGCAGGCACGCTGAAAAATGTTAGAAAAACGCGTTCGGACAAGTAAGCTCGAGGTTCCAGAACTTCCAGAAGCCAAAACAACAGTTTTTGTAACCAGTGCTTACCATGAGTTTACGTTAGGCGTGCTCGCTAGCGACTGCGTAAGAAAATGACATTAATAGGGATGATGACTGGGTAATGGAATCGAAATTCTATTTAGTCCTTCAGACAGATAATTAGAAAATATTAGACTCATATTTTTAATTTTTCCAAAATCGAATAATTACAGTATTTATTATATTGAGTTGAAATGTCGCGTGACGTCACTTTTGAGTAAAAATTCTACTCAAGCATGACGTATCGCGCCATTTCAACTCGATGTAGCACTGTTATTATTTAATTATGAAAGAAAATAAAAAATATGAGTCGAATATTTTCTAATTATTATCTGTCTGACGGACAAATATTATTTTTTGTCCGTAATTATTATTAATTGAAATTTGGTCATCAGCACTATTGTATGACATATTGTGCAGCGCCCCTAGCGGCTACTTTCAAGAAACAAAATCTTCATAGAGATTTTTGACGTACTCGCTAGCGAGCACACCTGACCTCCTAGACAAATCGCACTTTTTGATCGAATCGAAAATCGAATCCGTCAAAACTCCCTACAAAAAAGGGGCTTTTCGACCTCTTTTCGACTGGTTTGCGATAATAAATTGCACTTTGTCTAGACCCACTGAACGTAAACTCATGGTAGGCACACAGATCACTAACGACACTTTGTTAGTATGTGTGGGACAACAACTCTTGCAACTGAATTTAAGACCAGTTTTCCTGAACCGATTGAGCTGAAATTTGGTATACTTAAGTAAGTACGAAGACAAAGCAATGTTATGGTACCATTGAGCTGGTCTGATGATGGAGTCATGAGGTGGCCATAGGAACTTTTAAATGAAACGGCAGCATCGCATCCAATTTGGGTTCGTTGGATTTGTCTTTTCGAGCACTTTAGTACTAGATGATGTCCAGGGTCCTGATGATGGAGTCAGTAGGTGGCCATAGGAATTCCTAGACGAAACGGTGGAAACTTATCGAGTTTGGGTTTGCTGGATTTGTCTTTTCGAGCATTTTAGTGCTAAATTGTATTGTAATTGAACCAAGGCTCTGAGATTTAGATACTACTAAAAAGTGTAAAATAAAATTATAATAATTAAAAAACTTTTTTAAAAACAAGCTTTTATTTTGAAATGCAGTTGTACTAAAACGAAAAAAATAATTGTACATTATGCATGGTTCAAATAATTACGAAAGCTTGTAGCGCAAACATAAAAAGAGGAATAAATTCCATGCGCGATACAAGCTTTCGAAATTATTAGAACCTTGCTTAATTATTTATTTCGTTTTATTATCATGAAAATGTGTTAACGGATTAACGATTAACGTTAACTTCCGTTAAATATTGCGAAATGTAACGTTTTAACGTTTAACGAAGTTAATTTTTTTATTAACGGTTTAACGATTAACGAAGTTAACTATTTGATTAACGGTGCCCAGCTATGCTATCTAGTTAGGCAAAAAAAAAGATTTAGGATCTGGTTGTTCATTTCAAATAGATATTTTTACGCTAGCAAACTTTTGAGAAAAAATATGGCTAGTCAAATGCCGTTACTCGACACGACAATTTACCCTAAATGATATAATCAGTCTTCCAAGAAGATGAAAATTTTAACATAAAGGCAGGTATCTAGGTACTTCTTACTTACTTAAAGGTATAGGTACTAGTCGCATCCCGTAGCGTCTTAATATCGCTCTGAATAGCATTGCATTATAATTAATTATATCGCTGACGACAGCTTCCACCATAATTTATTGGTGTTAATGTTAAACTATATCCATTATTATTATCGTCAACATGATTTAGGTTTCAAAGTGACATATAATTATTCTAAACAGTCTACCTCTCCCACATAAAATTTTATGATCCAGTTTGAACAATTTTGAACTTTTGTTTTTACCACGCCTCATACTTTTTCAGAGCAAACACTCTCAGCCAAGTGATTGCTAAAACTAAAACTAGGCACTTTAACTAGTTTACAACCCTATTCCCACGCCCCTAAGTTTTAGAGAGCGAGTTCTCTTCAAGAGCCGTTCTGATTCTCGTCAATTTCAAGTGGCTCCTGTTGACACGCTTTCTCAATTTGGTGGACTATTTGCCCATTGCCCACCCTCGTCCGAAGTGGACAAGTAAAAGATTTCATGTTTCAATTAACGAGATGGATTTTTTGAGGATGGCCCTTTGGATGTGTGGATATTTATAGCATCGGTACTTTTAGGCGATGAAACAAATTTTTGAAATTATAATAAAGGCCCTTGTTGCAAAAAAGTTAAAATGTCATTTTCATACTAAGGCTGAGTTGCACAATCTTACTTTAACTTTAACAAACGTCAAATATTTGTCAAACACCATACAAAAAGCACCGGTTATTGTTACAGTTACGGTTTAATAACCGATGGTCCAACTCAGCCTACTTAAATTTTAAACTAGAGTTGAACTTTTTGTAATAAGGGGATAGAGTCAATGACTGTCAAAAACTCTCTGCATTCACTTTTGACCATTTAATCAGCACCTAAATCATTTACAAAATAATGGATCTGTTTGCGTGTACTTTGATACCTTCCTTTGAAATTATTTTCATTAGCTCATGCTATCAAAGGAATAATTCCTAAAATTACAATAACGATTTCTCGGTCATTCCAGAGAAACCGAAAGACACGTGAATTTAAATGAAGGCATGCAAAGTTCTTAGCGAAATGAACAAAGCCAAAAGCGAGTCTGAAACAATTTTGCTGGCTCGAGCGAACATCTTTGGGAATTAAGGCATTTCCTTTATGCAGGCAGACGTCAGCGGCATTGTTTTGCGGACCCTACTAATGCCACAGCCTAAATAGAACCAATCACATACGATGTTTCTTACGTAGGAGAACCAAAGTGACTGACATAGCCCGCAGAATCGCTAAAATCAAGTGGCAGTGGGCAGGGCACATAGCTCGTAGAGCTGACGGCCGCTGGGGCAGGAAAGTTCTTGAGTGGCGACCACGAGCCAGAAGACGTAGCGTGGGCAGGCCTCCCACTAGGTGAAACGAGGATCTGGTGAAGGTCGCGGGAGGCGCCTGGATGCGAGCGACGCAGGACCGGTCTTTGTGGAAATCCTTGGTGGAGGCCTTTGTCCAGCAATGGACGTCTTTCGGCTGAAACGAACGAACACACGATGTTTCTAAGATTAAGCAATAAACGTCGATATACGAGTACTCGTAAAAATGTCGTCCACTTAAAAAGACATCGGCTTTGTATAACTTCGCTAGTTCTAGAATTTCATAATCGTACTAAATAATTAAATCTAAAAGGATAAATTATTATTTTATTAATTAAATGAAAAAATAAATAAACAGGCATTACACAAATTACCACAAAATAAAAGATTTTCAAGCAGCTAGGTAGGTACTGTAAGTGTAAAGCATTTCTACAGCAGTGATTTTTTAAAGTAATATTCAATTACAAGAATAAAATATTTTTGCTCATAATAATATGCATGGCAATTTGTTCTCTTTGAACTAGGTATGTCATTATTCCTAACTGCGAAATTCGCTCCTGCTTTGTAACGCATGTCATTAAAATGTTGGAATATAAATTAATTCAGCCCTAATAATTACCAATTTTAATAATGGCTTTATAAATAAGTGGCATTCTTTGTACTGTAACTGTACCTACTAATAAATAAATAAATAATGTGGTTGCCTAAAGGAGAAAAAGAAAGAAAAGGTTTCTATTTTCACTAATGTATTTTTGCGATCTGAAACAGTTTCCCTTGACAACATTTTTTTGGAATTTTTTGGAAAAAATAATTTTCCGGGAAAAATCATTGATATTGGAGCTAGAAAGAAAGAATGAAAAAAATGTTTACAAAAGCATCATCAAGGTATAAAAAATTTTTTTAGGTACACTTTTTACATAGATTTGACTTTACGCGCGCTTGGTAATTTAAAATGACATTTTATTTTTGTAAAATAAATATTCGTTACCATATAAAATTTAATATTAAATTCCGAAACCCCTCATCTTATAAATCTTAGCTTAAAAACTAATATTAAAAGTCTAGTCAAATATTATTATAATGCAGTCTGCATTTGCATACAGCTGACCCTGTGCAGTTCGCACGTATGTTTCTATAACTTTATGAAGTTTAAAGAGAATTTATGGCAAAAACTTAAGCCAAATCTTTTAGTTGGAACCATTTGTATGCAGACCGTGAACCGCTGTAATACCAAATTCGCTGTTTTAATAAAAGAAGTCGCACATGAAAATACGTAGGTAATATGAAAGCATACTAATTGTACCATATTTATAAACTTTTACCCACGCTTTATTTTTGTTTATTTTAACAAATCCCTAAGTATGAATTTTCATATTTATATACTTAATTATCTATATTTTTCTCCATCATCATTCATTACACGAGTACATAATATTATTTAGTTTAATTAGTTAAAATAGTAAGACGCGGGTCTTAACGCGACGTTTATAATTGTAGGTACTCACGGCGTGACATCGCATCAGCATCGCAGCCGAAACGTCGCGTTAAGACCCGTGTCTTACTATTTTAATTGAAATGGAACGCGAAAGTTTAAAATTTTAATTAGTTAGTTGTAAAATATTTATTTATAGGACTTTGTACCTAAATGATTTTTTGTAAGCGCTCACTGAATACACACGTTCAGGAGATAGTAATTAAGTAATGTACCTAATCAAATTATCATATTTTTGTTTTATTTCTACTGTAAAGGAATAGTTGAATAAAACAATTTCACATACTAAAGCTTAATTGTTTAATAAAGGATCACCGTCGTCTAGTTTACAATATAAACAAAAGATATAAAATTAAATACAACTGAATCTTCTGTTAGTCGTCTTGTTTTTCAACAACTTCCAAATACACCATGTAACATGCTACAACATCCAATTTCTTCAAAATGTTAATTTTAGCTGAGTAAAATCCACAGAAGTCCCGGCTTAGACAACCTTTGAATTGTTCCACTGATAAATGCAGGTTTTTGATTGGGTATTGGCCCTGAAACATGATATTGAAGACTTTTCAAATTCAAATTCAAATTCAAATGATTTATTTCTTAAAATATGGTACAGTCATAAGGTCTTAACTATTACAATAAAGGTCCATCATATTTTGCCATGTGGCGTAGAAATGTCAGATTAATGTTTTATGAGATATTAAATTAATTTTAAAGTTCAAAATTTGTCATTCAGGAAATCGTCTATAGTATAATAACATTTGTTTTTCAATAGTAATGTCAATTTCTTTTTAAATAATTGAAATGTTAACTCTTTTATGTCATTTGGTAATTTATTGAATATTACTGGACCCATACCGAGAACGCTTTTCCGCAACAATGATGTATTATAGCCACCTACACTGAGACTTAAAACAATAATATAAAAAAATATCATCAAAAGGAGTTCTAAAACCTTCATCATTAGCAGTTCCAGGTGATGACTCACACAAATATATTTACTGAAATAGATATACCATCATCGTCATGATCATCATCAGGTCATTTAATCTCAACTGTAGGATCACAACCCTCTTAATTTACCAGAGGCAAATGGAGGATTTGGCCTACACTCCCCACGCTGGCCAGACGGGTTTGGGAGGAAATACACTCGACAGCAAATAAATCGCACCACCCGCGACTATCATTTTCAAACGTATGCATCCCTACTTCCCACCAATATTGGCACCATTTAAAAGCCTAGTTCTAAACTTCATTTTATTAAAGGAAAGGTTTTTACCCCAAAAATGTGTCTTTACAAGGATCCAGAGTCACTTCTTCAAAAAATAGGTAGTTACGCTATAGCCATTTTTTATGACTATAAAACTGTTAAGTTGGGATTAATCGCTATCCATCTGTTAAAGAGGACACGTGTGATCATTATTTGGTTTTATAACCATAAAATTTGGTCTAATTGATTCCAGAGGTGAGCCCAAAGTGAGGTCTTTTTTCAAGTCACATTTATGGTATATGTTAATCATTTATTAAGAAATTAAATGTGTTTTTCTTTAAGGATATTTATTGGGCTTTCAAATAACACCAATATTGTTGGGGCACCATTATTGTGTCAAAAGAAAATCTTTAAAGTTCGCGTCGCGGGTGGTGCGATTTATTTGCTGTCGAGTGTATGTAACAGAATTTTCTTTAACCCTTTCCCCATTATAACAAGTTACACCATAATTGAACCCTGTTTTAAAGTGACGTTTAGTATGGAAATGTCACTTTAAAACAGTGTTCTCATCATCATCATCATCAACATCCCTTTACAGTCCACTGCTAGACTATGAGCCTCCTCCACTATAGTGGAGGGTTTTGCTATAATCCCTCACGCTTGGCAGGTGGGTTGGAGATCGCAGTTTAAAAGATTTATGTTTTTCAGGGAGCGCTGCTGCGCGTTCTCTGTTTGATGTGTAGTCCCTACTATATTCTACTAGGATGAAATTTGAATTTTTTTATAGACTTATTAATGTACAACACTTACCACAGGTATAGGACAAGAAGAGATATTCATCATCGTGAACAGAGGAAACCATGGAGCATCAGAATCCTTCATGCTGTCGCACATGCCGACCTGCGCTGCTAGCATTGGCTCGCATGCTACTTCTGTTTCCTTACACACTTCTAATTCTATCTGTAATGTTTTAATCATGCATGTTAATGCTAAGGATGATTTAGTTCAGTGATTCAGTGTACTCGCGACGCCTTTAACCGTCAGAAATGGAAGCACATCGCCAGGAGAGCTACCCTCGGAAATGACATCGAACACCCCACCGTGTACCTCGTCAGCGCAACCACGACCACTCTGACAAGAGTGCCTGACTAAGAAGAAAAATGATTTATTACACCTTTAGGCTTTCATTCTTTGAATTCTTAGATAGAGTTCAAGAAATATAAGTTTCAGCCAAAAGACGTCCACTGCTGAACACGGAAATCATTTGTTTAGTCGGCGAGCTTCGTGTGTAGAGTGTTTAAGGTTAGTATTAAAAATACTTGCAGTATGGTCGTCATCAAGTTCTATGATGAGGTCGAGGACTCCATCTAAGCCGAAAGTATCTGGTGTACCGTCTTCTCCAGCCTGCAATCCTAGTTCTATGTCGGCCTTGATGTTTGGATTGTCGAAGTCTGGGCAACTGATTATGGAGTCCGCGAATTCCACGGCATAGTAGACCTGAAGGAAAAATAAATGATTATTCATCTAATTATGATTGTAATATTAACTTCTAATGCTGAGAGACTATAATTGCCTCGGTATAAATCACTTGGAATTTTTTAAGTAAATGTTCTTTGTAACTACTATTAAGCTACTGATGTAGCCCTTATCGAAAATGGTAGAAGACTTGAATCCATGAGACAGGGATATTTAAAGATGAAACAAATGTTCTAGATAGCAAAATGGGACATGATCGTTTCATAATAGCTAAATACATTTTTGAAAAGGTAGTAGCGTTGCAGTGCAGCGTTTGCGGTCAAATGTCAAAGGTGAAAAAATGCCTAGATTTGAGTTAGCCGTGTAACTTACAGCCCCAGCTGAAAATATTTCAAACGATATTAAAACGTGAAGGCAAATCAAAAGTCCAAAGAAATTATTCATAATATCGCCTTGCACATGAACAAGCACTAGCCAATGAAACTAAAAGTGAGTTAGCTCGTTTGATTGTCACCTCAGATGTTTTATACATGACCTGATAGGGATCTTTGTTATGTAGTCAATTTGAACACGATACATTATATTATGAGGACCATTACTGACTATATCATCACGAACACTCAATTGGCAGTCGATTAGCACGCAATATTCGTGTAAAAAGAAACAAAACAGATTTTATTACAGTTTGCATCCATACGCAGTACCCCTACTCGTATTCTGTTTACTTTGAGGTTGCATCATAACTACTTTTTAACTCGCCAGTATCTAGCTATGTGTGAAAGAGATGAATAATTTTAAAAAAATACGACATTAGTGACCAAACCCGCAGTAAAATTCCGTATTTTCTATTATTTTCCCAAATTTTATTACGTTCTTTTATTTCACTAAGGCCGAGTTGCACCACCTAACTTTGACCGTAACTATAACGATAACCGGTGTTTTTTGTATGGAGTTTGACAGATTTTTGACGTTTGTTAAATTTAAAGTAAGATAGTGCAACCCAGACTAAGGCTTAGTTAGCCTAAGACAGTCATGTTACTCATTGATTAAGACAGTTACGATACTCGTAGCGACAAGGTCTGCCATCTTAAAAAAGAAAACGGCACTCTCTACAAGTGTTTTCGCCACAACATGATAAAATTAGAAATGTATCTCATGGTGAACATAAACTGTGAGCGCAAAGCGTTCCCATATATTACAAAACAATTGTTATTTTATGTAGATGCTGCCTACTTTTAAACTACCGTAATTTTTAGATTCCGATAGAAGTTTCCCCTCCAAATATTTGTTATCTCACTGGAAATGAATGAATGTATTCACAGTTGTGATTTACCGCCTATTTTTATACCAACTTTTGTCACAATTATGGGCGAGCATTATTTTTTGTAGGTTCGCTTTTGTTCTATGAAATATTGGGATATGTAGTTCTTTTATTGTATGTAACATTTTCCTTGGAATAAATTGTACGGTTTTTAATTTACCGCACTGAGAGTATTTATCACATTTAATCAAGAAAATAACTAGTGATTATGACTTTCATCAATCCTTGTGGTTCTGGGAGAACAGATTTGGACTTAACCACTCTTTAATGTCATAGAAGGCGACTCAGGGACAACGAATACACAAACTCCGTCTGGCATGGGGAGAGAGTAGATCAAAACCTCCATTTCATCATCATCATCATCATAATCATCATTTCAGCCATAGGACGTCCACTGCTGAACATAGGCCTCCCCCAAAGCAGCTTTCCATGTTGATCGATTGGTAGCGGCCTGCGTCCAGCGCTTCCCTGCTACCTTTACGATGTTCATTTGCCTCTAGTAAAAATTCTAGAGTCATGTTTCTGCAGTAGAGACTGAACGAACTGATGATAATGACTATTAATAGCACTTCACACTCTATCGCGGGCTCACAATAGATCGAAACCGGTTGTTCTAGGACCTCTACTTAGTCCAATAAACCTCCTTCTTGTAGGACCCATAATATCAAAACAAATGAAAATTGGCTCAGTCGCTTAGGTGCTAAAACGTATAAGACAGTCCGACAGAGATATTTAAATAGTATGTTTGTTTCTGTCAAGGCTTACGTAACCATGCACGATACAGGAAAATATAACAGTATATCATTTTAGTTTTGGTTGAAGTGTTCACAGCAGGGCCTCTAACGCGTTGAAACGAGAGAAAATGTTCTCCTTGATAACGTTTTGCTCTACTAAAACACAAATAAAGAAATATGATTCCATGTTTAATCTCAGCCTCAAAGGTGGACAGACGACCTCATAAAAGTAGCAGGAAGGCGCTGGATGTAGACCGCGACCTACCGGTCAATCTGAAAATCATTGTATGTTCAGAAGTGGACGTCCTGTGACTGAAATAATTATGATCAGATGCCTATAGCTTAAAAAGTCGCACCTAATCTCGATTGAATAATCTGGAAATAGAAATATATTATCCCATGCAATTCACTGATTCTCATTAGTAAATTTTAACAGTGCCTACACTGTTAAAATTTAATGATAAAGGTTTCAGGCTCTTATAAACTGACACACCAAAACAAACGCATAATTTTTATCTTAATACACTTCTAACTTCGGGTAATTTAATTATGCGAGTAGAATAGCGCCCCACTTTATTTGATTGTCTCTGTCACCTATGCAAATGATACGAATACGACTTAATTGAATATCTTTGTTCGGGTGAGAAGGGGCATTTCTATGACTTTTGGGATTACCCCCTGTTGCCATATGAGCGGTAGATGCAAAAGGCCCGTTTTCATTGGCCCGTTATTTATTATGAAATGACAGTCAAAACTAATACAAAATTCAAGTCGAGAAGTCAAATGGTCCTCAACACATTTTATGCAATTGTTTTGTTGCGCTATACATGGTGTTAGGTAAATGGGTATATGAGCCGACACTAGCCCATGTTAACATGGGCATATAAATGGTATGGTGAAGTCAGAAAATTGATATTATCATTTTATTTTTTTTATTTTCATACAAAATATCTATATATATAAAAGAAAGTCGTGTTAGTTACTCCACTTATAACTCAAGAACGGCTGAACCGATTTAGCTGAAAATTGTCAGGGAGGTAGTTTAGAACCAGGAGAAGGACATAGGATACTTTTTATCCCGTTCGAAATTAAAAAAGAAGTCTGCTTATTTATTGCCATTAAGGCGGAACAAAGTTCGCCGGGTCAGCTAGTTTTTTATATAATCCGATTTGTATGAAAATTAAAATAATTAAAATTAAGATATCAATTTTCTGACTTCACCGTACCATTTATACTGTTAACATGGGCTAGTGTCGGCTCATATTCTCATTTACCTAACACCCTGTATAAGACTCCCCGATATTACCTACATTTATAATTATAGAATTAATGTTATAAAAGTAAGAAACTGAGCCTACTGAATAGATTTATTTTTCTTCAATTGTAATGCATCTGTGTTGTGGAATGAGTTTATTGCTAAGTTTAGATATTCATAAGAGACAAATCGAAAAGTTAGCAGCATTCAATTTATTTCGAGGTAGGCATTAGGCAGTATGTTACTCCTAATTTCAATCCTCTGATTTGATCATTATTCTGCTACCCTGCAGGCATAGCTTACCTGTTCTCACATTCATTTCTCGGGGTTATGAAAGAGCATTTAAATACAATTTTAACATTTTCTTCTCTACTGGTTCCAGAATGTGAAAATAAAATCTTCCCAAAATTTTCTCGAATTTTGGCGTGCAATGTGTAAAACTCACCTAACTGTCCAAAATTCGTAACAAACATCGTGCTCGATTCGCAGCTGTCAAAATCAATTAATAACACCAGCACGAAGTTTCGAAGTTCCAAACGCGACCGAAAATAAACAGAACTTGCAGATATCGTGAATAAGTAACTAGTGGCACCAAGTCTCGACCTCAGAGACCTCTCAGACTAAGACCAATCGATATCTAGATAGATACATTTAGAAATGCCTTTGAGATCTGAGATCGTTCTAAAATAATCCGAATATTTGATTCCCTACTAGCGACAGAAGAAAAAGAACATAGTCATCAATATAACAAAGAAGATAGGAGTCAATCAAAGAACAGCGTTGGCCGTCATCAAGTAGTAAGCTAACCAATAAAAAAAAATTCTTGAAAATTGAGGTATCATAACGCCTTTAAAAATTATCATTATTGTTTCATCTATCACTAAAACATGGCATTCATTTTTCCACAGGTATTTCGGTCGATCTTTTGTCGATATCAGTTGTACTTGTATGTCAATTAATATTTGAAAGTAGTGTATGTTAGGCGCTGAATCTAGGCTGCTACCAACCGGTCATTGTGGAAACCATTCGTGGAGGCCTACGTTCAGCAGTGGACGTCCTATGGTTGGAATGATGGATAGTTTCTGTTCGAGTTGCAGAAGGACCTCACTGGGATTCCAGCTCTGGTATCTGACTTTATGATCTGCAATTGGCATCTGTTAGAGTCAAATGCATCAAGAATTGGATATATCCAATTTCATCAACAACACCTTTGAAGATGACTTGATGATTGACTGAATGAAAAAAGCGGGAAGTCTTACGAAAAGGCGCTACTTGGGGTAAGGCCTATTTATAACTTATAATAAATAAATTAATAACTTCCAGCAGTGGATTACCGTGGTAATAATAGATAAGGAGGATAACAATCTCAATAAGCAGAACTGATACGCTATAAAAAATTGATTTGTAAAAAAAACTGGTTTAACAACAAGGTATTTAAAGAAACTGGAAGGATGATGAACAAAAAGAATATAAGAATATAAATATTTTAAAGATGACCTTTATAGACAGAGCTCACAGCGGAGATAGAAACACTAGGTCCTCTCCTTACGGATTACCCAGATTTAAGTATCGGATCATAGACAATAATGCCCGTATTCACAAACATTACTATGAGGTCTCACAGTGCGTGTTAACGCACAGGGTGACACATGAACCAATCACTGAGCTCTATTCAACGCTGTGCTTTCGATTTTCTGGTTCACTTAGACAAGCATCGTTTGTGAATACGGGCGTAAGAATTTCTCGTAAGTTATTAATAACGAATACATGGACTGTACCTCTAGTAGGAAAAACTTTCGAGTTCGTTTCGTTGCGTATTCAAAGTGTCATCGAAAAATTTTGTATGAAAAATTAAACAGCGCCCCCTAAGGCGGCTATAATATAGGGGGCGCTGTTTAATTTTTCATACAAAATTTTTCGATGACACTTTGAATACGCAACGAAACGAACTCGAAAGTTTTTCCTACTAGAGGTACTGATGTCATCCGATCGTAGAATAATTTTAAGAGACCATATTTAGACTTTTGCCCGTTTTCAAGTGACCCCCTGTGGTAAATAAAATATAATGTTTAACATAATATAACTCATAAAAGCAATTTTGTTATCATAGGGGTCACTTAAAAATTAGGGATTGATGGTGAAAACGGTCATTATTTTACCGTAAATAGAACTTGAAATGATTAGATCTTGTATCCTTGCTGTGAGAAAAGAATGAGTGAATTAAACAACGTGATCCCACTTTATAACAGGGCAAAAACACTCATTTTAGTTTCCCTGCTGCATCTTATTTTATTATATCTTCCAAAATTATTGGTGTAACGAATCCATCGCTGTTTATTTAGTAACAATCTGCATCAGTTTATGAGTAGGTGTTTGTGCTATAAACATGTGTTTGTAATTTCTTTTATATTAATTATCAAAATTGTGGATATTTTTTTGAAATTACTACAACTAAGATGTGGAAAAGTGCTTTGAATTTACTTTTACTTGTGTATTCATGCAAAGCAGCCACAAACAATGGTAAGTATTTTAGCACTATTTTGTGTCTCTTAACTTAGGGCCAATTTTATGAGCCGTCGCCGTTAAGTCAACAATTAGTTAAATAAGACTTAAATATCACAAAAAGGCGATTTTTGAATCAATGGTTAGCTTGATTTAGTAATAAGGATTGTATGAACTTTTTAATAATACTTGCAACAAAGCTCATCCACTTCCAATTAATTTCTACGTTTAAGTATTTATACTTTTTTTAGATGCTTGAAGGTCAAAAAATGATCTATGCATTTTGTTCGTTCATTTTGATCGTGGATAAATTAATATCCAAAAGCTAACTATAGATTTTGCCCGCGGCTTCTCCCGCGTGAAATTTGTGTCTCAGATCGGCATAAATTATAGCTTAATGTTAATCTGGGTTACAAACAATAATACTGTAAAGTTTCAACAAAATCCGTACAGTACTTTTTGCGTGAAAGAGTAACAAACATCCAGACATTCAAACTTTCGCATTTACTCGTATAATATTAGTAGGATTAGACTGGCGAGTGTCATGGCATACTTAATTTTTTTTTTCAGATTGTATCACACCTCTTGACACTCCAGGCAAATGCATAATGGTGTCAGATTGCTCATACTTTACAGAAGCACTAGCTGGTGGGCAAGTTGAGAAACGCACTTTGGATTTCATGAAACAGTCAAAGTGCGGGTGCGATGTGACAGTCCCTAGAGTGTGCTGTGGTCCTTTACCTACAGAGGAGCAGTTCGAGTCTAACAAAGAACGCTTGTTGGTATGATACTGATTTAACATCTTCTTCTTCTTTTCGTGTCGACAACAAACCTACACAGTGTCAGCCCAAAACTCCGCCACAAGAGTGGCGTTGTCAGTAGCACTCATCAAATCCTCCTGAGTGCAGTTGATTTAACATTATAGAATGCAATGCATACATTTCTCTTTGAGATAACAAGTGAAACACAGTTCGATTGGCTAGCAGAATTTAGCCATTTTGAAGTGATTAAGATACATTAATGGCAATGATAAACAGTGTTACAGATTGGGAATGCTTTTCTTTTTCACACACAGTTACTGGCTACAGTGTGTTGGGATGATTTATGTTAAACATATGCCCTAACAGTAACAGTGTTACTTGGTGGGTTTTTTTTCCCAACGAGTGACAGTGTTTCTCAAGCGGTTCACGTTAAGGTGCAACTCGCTCAAGTTAACTGCGCACCTGACTGGAATGCGACTGTACCTCGCTTTCACCTGCACACTTCTCCGCGTTCGCCCCGTCCTTACACGTCGATATGACGTCACGGAGCCAGGTGCGCAGTTAACTTGACCGGAACCATTTTGTTACTTTTGCAGCAAGATATTGATCCAGATTCCCTGGAAGATTCCAAGTTAGCTTCGGAGGATAAATGTGGCCTGGATTTTAGCGTGTTCACCAATAAAATATATGGGGGACAAAGAACAAAAACCGGGGAATTACCTTGGCTAGCTTTGCTGTGGTATAGTGTCCGTATGTACTCTTACTTACTTTTCTTATTTTCTCGTATTAATTCTATATTTTTATACTAAAGCCCGCTCTGTGAGCACGTAGAATTTTGTCCAATGACCCCAAGCTACCCATCCTTATCGCTCGCGCGTAATTATATTGCTGTCGCGACTGTGCGACGGGCGCCCGCAGTGAGTGAGCGAGCGCGACAGCAATGGTGGGTAGCTTGGGGTCATTGGACAAAATTCTACGTGCTCGCAGACCAGACTATAGCTGTTTTTGTATTTGTCTGATGTGTTGGCGTCGTCGTGACGTCATCATCATCTATTTCAATTAGAGAGGAGCAGTGGAGACTGAATGACCTGATAATGATGATCAATATTTATACAACTGTTAGAGGATTTGTTCCAACAAGAGATGAAAAGGTAAAAATTACTAGGGTACGTCAAACAGTGGACTTTTATATAAACTTCCAACCCCCTTTTTATTTTGCATTGTTTTCTTAAGTTGTAAAAGGAACCCCCATACAAAATTTGAGACTCCTAGCACTTGTAGCAGAGTAAATACAAATGAGTACGCATAGTATGCGTATACGCACCTATATTGGCGCGCTCACATACAAACCGCGCTCGGTGCGTTTCTATGAAGATGACCTACTTATTTGTATTTACTCTGCTTGTAGTTTCCGTGATTTTGTGATGAGTGAGTGAATCAGTCAGTCAGTGACCTTTCGCTTTTATATACACCGTGTCCTAAAATTCAACGAAAAGCGGGCGCCGTAGGGTGGACATAGTCATGACTACTTTAGGAAAATTAGAAAAAAATGTACCATATATTTTTTTTTTCTAAAGAACTAGAGGCGACCAATCAACTGATGTACTTATGCGGAGGATCGATAATAAACCAGCGATACGTGCTGACAGCTGCGCATTGCATTGCGAGAAGGAAATACGAAGTTTTGTAAGTATTTACATTTCACCAAGAGTTATAATATGCTGGATTTCTTTCAATCCTAATCCAAATCCATCCGTCATCTGTCAAATTTCAATAACATTTGGGGCTATATTTCACCGGGACACCATGGCGGCGCAACCAGTCGCCGGCTACCAACAAAATGTATACAGCTCTATAGAGAGTTACTCACCTGGTGTCCGTTTGGTTGCGCAAAGCTGCATACATTTTGNATTTCACCGGGACACCATGGCGGCGCAACCAGTCGCCGGCTACCAACAAAATGTATACAGCTCTATAGAGAGTTACTCACCTGGTGTCCGTTTGGTTGCGCAAAGCTGCATACATTTTGTTGGTAGCCGGCGACTGGTTGCGCCGCCATGGTGTCCCGGTGAAATATAGCCCTTGGGGTTAAAATATCTGCGGTTTTCGATGTTTTTGTATTGTTTACTTATAAGACTATTTAAACAATGACTTACTTGACTTAAGGTCCTATGTCCCCTAGATGGGGCAGAGGGCGCCCACAACAGTCCTCCATCGCGTTCGGTCTTGAGCTTCGCGCTTGATTTAAACAATATTATAGCATAATCGAATATTGTGGATATTTAATCTAAAGCTGAAATTAAATTTGACAGTTGAAATCCGGATTTGGACAAGGATTGAATATGGGAAACGGGCGTTAGAGAATAGAGAAGCTATTGTATATAAGCAAAATTCTTGCTCCATTTTAGAAAGAAAACTAAAGTTGCTGCATCAGTTCTGTCGTCTAACCAAACTTATATGTATATTTACATGTAGCAGCGCTAGATCGCTTACTTGTCAAATGTAGAATGTCACAGTCGCGTAGTCGCACTAAAGTAAGATGCACGGCATGCGATACATTTCCCTTCTATGATCTGAGATTTCAGTTGAACAGAGCGTGTTCGGGTGTTCTTTGGTATTATTTTACAAATTCATGAAGTTGTGCAAACCCTCGTAAAGGTAGCAGGGAAGCGCTGGACGCAGGCCGCTATCAATCGATCAACGTAGAAAGCATTGGGGGAGGCCTATGTTCAGCAGTGGACGTCCTATGGCTGAAATGATGATGATGATGTACAAACCCTGATCTTCCTGATACATGTAAATAATACTATTTTTTGCAACAGGGATTTTGTACGCCTAGGTGAGAATGACATCAGCAAAAACATAGAATGTACAGGGAACGTGTGTGCAGATCCACCCCAAGATATCAAAGTATTGTCCGTTCACCCTCATGCAGAGTACAACCGCACTAAACACGTACATGATATCGGTCTGATAAGGCTCGTGAAACGTATAGTATACTCAGGTAAGTTATACTTTTTCATATAATTTTAAACTTTTTTGACTTGTAATAAATAATTGCTTGTCCGATTAGGAAGAATTTAATGGCCAACCGGCCATTATGGAAATACTGGGGAAGGCCTATGTTCAGCAGTGGACGTCCTATGGCTGAAATGATGATAATACAAATATACTTAAAAATATCATTACTAAATCAGAAAAAACAAACTCTTTTCTTTTAAATGACTTTTTTTTTCAGAATTCGTTCAGCCGCTTTGTTTGGATCGAATGGGACAGTGGAATGTTGATGATCAAATTGTAGCCGCTGGATGGGGACAAACACAAAAATGTAATGAACCAAATCTTCTTATCACGCAAATATAAATTTTACTTATTACGTTTTTAAGTATCGTTTAACATCATCAGAGGAATCAAATTCTATAGTTTTCAAATTTTTTGTTCCATTTTTATCTATAGGTTTATGTATTTTATGAGTAGCAGTGGTCAAAGATAAATACCTATAGTACATTTTTCTTTTGTTTTAGCCACATTAAGTCTTATCAAACTTAAAGTAAAACTGCCAGTAGTAGACCGCGAACGCTGTGCGAAGACATTCCCATCTCTGAACGATGGCCAGGTTTGCTTGGGTGGGAAGAAGTTGTCTGACACTTGCCAAGGGGACTCTGGGGGTCCAGCCATGAGGCAACGGTCTGACAGGAGATGGCAGGCCATAGCTGTGGTGTCTTACGGGATTGGCTGTGGAGTGGAAGGCAGACCTGCTGTGTATACGGCCGTACATAAATACCATGATTGGATTATCGATACTTTGCAGGCTACCAACCTCTGTCCGAAAGCCGAAAGCAGATTTTCAGACGAACCTGGTGAGTAACTTTTCTGTATTTATCAAACGTCGCGCATTTATCAAACGTTAGAAGTTATTTATCTGCATTGTGCACTCTTTTGAAGGATAGCAAACTCGAGTCGCTACCTCCTCGAATGGATGCGCGATGCCAAAAGCAAGGCTTGGGCGTCCCCGGAAGACAAGCATGTCAAGAAAAATACACAAAAAATTAAAATGTATAAATGTCGCAATTTTCCACATCACTATACACCATGTGACACTTATCGCTAAGAACAATATTTTATGGTGGCTATAAATACCTTTTGAATGCTTTATTACCAGTTCCTATTTCTATAAAAGGACAACGTTCGTGTGGTCGATCAAGGATTTGTTTTTATGGGCATAACTAAGTAAGACGTTTTAGGTAAATGTTTGAAACAATAATAAAATAGTTGTAAATTCGACAAGTTCTTGAGTGAAGACCACGAATAGGTAAGTAGGGTAGACCGAGGAGAGTTGCCACATTGTCGATTTTTTTAAACTTAAACTTTTAACAGTGCGCGTTTTTTTTTGTGCAAGTCGCTGTTGCGAGCTCGCTGATATATAGTAGGAATACTTAGGTTTCCAAAAATCGAAAATGTCACAACTCTCTTCTATTACCACTCTCCTCGGTCTCCCCTAGTGTAGAATGCTTAATTCAATACAACATACATCTGTTTCCGCAATTTATTACACCGATCTTGTCGCGACAAGGAAAAATTTCCGTGCTTTTAAGCGATTTTGTGAAAAATATTATTGGCAGGTAGTTGCTAATTGCTCATAAGATAGGCCCCCTTAATTTAATTTATTGTCCGTGGTGCATAATCTTTTCTTAAAGGTTTTAAACCTTTGTTTGTCACCTGTCATCCGCTTTGCAATGGAGGGAAGTCGAACCTTAATTTCGAACTCCTCCTATGTTCTTCTGATTAATTTCGTTGCGGGTCCAATGACAGTTTATTTTTTTTCGATGTACATACCCGTGTGGGGTATCAATGGAAAGGTCTTTTAAAATGATATAAAGTTTTCTAAAAAACATTTTTCTTAAAGTGAACGGTTTTTGAGATATCAGCTCTCAAAGTCGTAAAAAGTATGTCCCCCCCCCTCTATTTTTATAACTACGGGGTATAAAATTCTAAAAAAAATAGAGGTGATGCATGCTAATTAACTCTTTCAACGATTTTTGGTTTGATCAAAGTATCTCTTATAGTTTTTGAGATAGGTTGATTAAATTGACATAATAAGTTTATTATATTTGCTGCTACGGAACCCTTTGTGCGCGAGCCCGACTCGCACTTGGCCGGTTTTTTTACATCATAAGAATACAACCATAAAATAAAGTTAGTATGTTTATTCTCTTTCAAGTACAGTCTCATAATATCTTTTTTAATAATTTTTTAAAGTAATATTAAACTTATAGTATAGAGGAAATATTTATATTTTTGTATGTTTCTATTGAGTATTCTCCGAAATTACTGGACAATTAATCGTTTTTCTAATAGGCTTACATTTTTTTTGTTAATACCTTAAACTACCTGTGCAAAGCTTGGGCATGCCACTAGTTATAGTATACTATGAATATGACCAAATAAAAATCGTCTCGTGCTTTGCAGACGGTACATAAAAACAAGACATATTAAATGTCGAAGCTGACCTCCAAGAGCCAGTAAGTAGAACCGGCGTGCGCGCAACGATCGTGTTTACGTAAAAAACAGGAAAAAATCAAAATTAACCCGTGTGTGTGTGATGTGTGAACGCTATAATAATATACTATTTTCGTAAAATGTTTTGCCGGACTGTGTTTTTTGTGCTAACGCTAGTTTTTGGGTACACCCATACACGTAAGTTTTTTTACTGACATAATAACTGGACGTATAGGTAAATGAATAGGCAATTCATGTACCATTTTTGTTAAACCCGGTTGTTGCTAAGAAGTCACTTAACGTTCATATTCAAAGTTCGTTTCGTTCGTTTCAGCCAAATGACGTCCACTGCTGGACAAAGGCCTCCCCCAAGGTTTTCCACAATGAACGGTCCTGCGCTGCCCGCATCCAGGCTCTTCCCGCGACCTTTACCAGATCGTCGGTCCACCTAGTAGGAGGCCTGCCCACGCTACGTTTTCCAGCCCGTGGTCGCCACTCGAGAACTTTCCTGCCCCAACGGCCATCGTCTCTACGAGCTATGTGCCCCGCCCACTGCCACTTGATTTTAGCAATTCTGCGAGCTATGTCGGTTACTTTGGTTCTCCTACGGATCTCCTCATTTCTGATTCGATCACGCAGGGAAACTCCGAGCATAGCCCGCTCCATCGCCCTTTGGGTGACCTTGAGCCTTCTTATGAGGCCCATATTCAAAGTACCTGTCTTAAAGTTAATTATTACATACGAGTTAATCCGAACAACAGATTCAAAAAATAATGTGCTTAATTAAGATAAGTCGTAAAATAAAGAAAAAGGTTAGTTAAGACTTCACATTTTGATAAATTATACAAAAAGACTTCACACGAAAATACAAAGTAGAAAAATAAAACACTCTGAGTTGCGTCGTTCTCATAAACAATCAGTATTTCCTGAACTTTATCTTAATTAAAACTTGTTATTATTGAGTTGTAAATGTCAACATATTCATCATTGATTGATCATCAGCGGTAGATGTGACGTCAGAGGTTATCTAGGCTATCGATTCTCGGTTGTAATACAAATAAAATCATCAACATAACACGCATGATCAAAAGAACGGAAAATGCCACATTTATAAACAAACAAATTAGCCTCAAAAAGTGAAGAACACAACGCTTGTATCTTAATAAAGCCAAAACCTGTATATCCAGTATTATCGTACAAAACATTAACTTTATCCTTATTGCATTGAGAAACCATTTCAAAAGTCTTAATATCTTTTGTCGTAATGACATTTTATTTTGAACTAGCGTTCGCGTTAGCGATCCCGTTTTACCCCCTTAGTGGTGGAGTTTCGTAAAATACTTTCTTAGCGGATGCCTACGTCATAACATCTACCTGCATGCCAAATTTCAGCCCGATCCGTCCATTGGTTTGGGCTGTGCGTTTATAGATCACTATGTCAGGCAGTAAGTCAGTCAGTCACATATATCAGTCAGTTACATACATATATTTAGATAGATAGATAGATATGATGATAAATTGAAATTGGGACTTTGGGAGATAAGTAATTTTGTTTGATATAAAAGCCTTTAGACCTATAGAATTTTGTTTAACTATTTGGCTAAATGCGAAACAACAAACAGCAGTTAAATAAGAACTCAAATTGAATCGTTGAATTTTAATTAAAGTTACATTAACTAAATCGTATCGCTTTATGAGTGTCATATTCTGGATAGTATAATAATAGTCTGTAAGGGAGCACTAGAATAGCACTAGAAGTCGAATGATGAAGACCTCTGAAGAACTATTAAAAGCTATATTCAGTACTCTGTATTGCGACTAGTCAGCAATTTATGGCAAGAGAACTCTTTGGAACTCCTTTGGAAGTTTGTTTGGCCCTAATGCTTTCCTCGCCATCTTTTTGTCCAAGGTTTCCGACGATGACGTATGAATATTGCAATTGTGGAACTACTTAACAGCTATGGGTCAAGCGCTTAATTCAGCAACGCGTGAGGTATAGGAGCGGCACGGGCAGGAGTAACATTGAAATATTATGACATAACAAAGCAACAAAGAAGAACGGTCACGCCCCATACAAAAAAAACCCAGATCCGACAGAAACGAGACATATCAAAATATTTTTGTCATGTCTTAATTAGTTCATCATCAACAGCCCTTTACAGTCCACTGCTGGACTATGAGCCTCCTCTACTATAGTGGAGGGTTTTGCCATAATCTCCACGCTTGGGTGGAAACGAGAAGTTACAAAATCCAAAAATTCAATGTTACCAGCTTCCATAATCTGTAACCTGTTATTGGTACCATTTGAAAGAGCTCGTGAAGCACTTTCAGAATCAGTAACTAGTTTTTCGATATCTTGTATAGTTTAGAAATAATCGAGTGAGATCACTTATCATTCCATATGTATAACCACCCTGTATAATCCGGCTGTATCTCCAGGTCACCTAGATACATTCCATGGCAGCTGTAATAGACATTTAGGTAAGTACATACATTTACCAATTTTGGTGATAAATAGGCATTTTGTATTAGTTTTTGTATAACGAATATAAAAAATATATAATTTAACTAATTAAGACATGACAAAAAAACTGAGGTATGTCTCGTTTCTGTTGGGTCTGGGTTTTTTTTTGTATGGAGCGTGACCGTTCTTCTTTGAAGCATATCTGAAGTCTCGCTGACGTTTGACGTCTCTAAAACACCCTCCTGTGCCGCTTCCATACCTCAGGCTCCGACTGAGTTTAGTGTTAGACCTATCTACACTCGACATCAAATAAATCGCACCTCCCGCGACAAGCATTTTCAAACTTATGCATCCCCACTTCCCACCAATATTGGCACCATTTAAAAGCCTAGTTCTAACCTTCATTTCATTAAAGGAAAGGTTTTTACCCCAAAAATGTGTCTTTAGAAGGATCCAGAGTCACTTCTTCAAAAAATAAGTAGTTACGCTTGAGCCAACTTTTATGGCTATTAAACTGTTAAGTTGGGATTAATCGCTATCCATCTGTTAAAGAGGACACGTGAGATCATTATTTGGTTTTATAATCATAAAAATTGGTCTAATTGATCCCATAGTTGGGCCCAAAGTGAGGTATTTTTTCAAGTCACATTTATGGTATATGTTAATTATTTATTAAGAAATTAAATGTGTTTTTCTTTAAGGATATTTATTGGGCTTTCAAATAACACCAATATTGTAGGGGCACCATGATTGTGTCAGAAGAAAATCTTAAAGTTCGCGTCGGTCGCGGAAGGTGCGGTTTATTTGATGTTGAGTATATCTATCTCTATCTATCTATAGCAGCCTTTAGACCTATAGTAACAAATAATAATAATGCAGTGTTTCAATGATTTTAACTCAAAACACGTTTAGTGATGACCACACTGTATAAACATGTCGTCGCCATGAAGTGGAAATCCCGATTGGTTTTTACAAATTCGAATAAGCCAAAAAATATACCATTTTGATTTCGTATTTTTGTAAATGGCATTGTTTTATTTTGGTAACCATTTGAACGAATTCTCTGCGTAGTAACTTATAATCTTGTGTAATATTGTAAAATATACTTTTAATTTAATTTTAATCTTAGTTAACTGAGTTTCTTAATAGTTTTTCTCATTAACAAAAGGACAATCATTTGGTTTCATCAAAATGTATATTTAATAGATTACTTAGGTACCTAACTGTTTGTAAACAATCTATTACTCTCAGGATTTTTATAAGCGTTTTAGCTATCCTGTTATCATCGCTAAATGAAATATATGCATCTCTGATTAATTATTAATCCTGGTCCATAGTGCTAAAAAGTTATCATTTGCATTAGGTACCTACTTCATAAATATTAATTTTACTCACTAGTTTATATTTATAAAATAGCACAATCGATATCAACATCTTTACAGTCAGCGCACATTAAACTAATGTACGAGTATACCTTATCAGTGAAATATTAAATGATTCGACGCTACAGCGATACGGTTCTTAATAATTTTATATTTTACTAGTGGCCGCCCGCGACTTCGTGCGCGTGGATCCCGTTTTACACCCTTAGGGGTTGAATTTTGCAAAATCCCGTCTTAGAGAGCACCTACGTTCTAAAAGGAACCCATGCATAATTTCAGTCTCCTAGCACTTGTAGTTTCTGAGAATTCGTGATGAGTCAGTGAATCAGTCAATCATAAAATAACGGGTACAAATACCCGAATGTCAATCATTCTTCTTTTGTTTCAGAAAGCTGCACCACGCCTTTAGGGCAACCCAGCCAATGCATTTCTCTATACGAATGTCAAGATTTGCTAAGTGCATTTGAGAGGCGACCCCTGCCCAGCTTTGTTGTAACCTTTTTGAGAAAGTCTCAATGCGGTTTCTTAAATCGCACCACGCCGGCAGTATGCTGTGGACCCCTGCCTGAAGAGGATTCGCAGGTACCAGTTATAGTAAGTATTTACTAACATACATATAACGCTTCTATTAATAATCTTCTGACCTATCTTTTCCTAGAGGTTCAAGCTGTGGAAGACATAATAGCTGATGATCAGCAGTTATCTTGGTTAATTACTATCGAAGACAATGATCAAAGGCTGGGCAAAGATGAAAAAATGAAGATGGATAATAAGCATCAACATCTCCTAGTTGCGCTAGATATAATTAATGATGAGCAGGAGTGGTAACTCATTTACTTTTGTTATCAACAATATTTTTTACGTAGCAATGATTTGATGCAGTTAAAGAAGTAGCGAAAATATGAGAAAAGAAGTACAGATGGCTTCAAATCAAGTTAAGATTATGGCAGCTTATTTTGTTGTCACAGTTACCGGTATTATTTTTAAGAAGAAAAAAGATATTCAGAAGTTTTTATCTTGTAGTGGTTGTAGTAGTTCCTTGTTTTTGATTGACAGATGATCTGCTTTAAATGCAAATAATGCAGATGGACTGATTTTACCAGCTTATTAGGGTAAAGATCAATATGTTTCCCCTTATAGCCAGTGCCGACCACGCCAGCTCCGAATCGTCAGGACGATGGGTTTAACGCTGATGATGCAAACCCGTCACCCGTTGGGGAGTGCGGCGTCGACACCAATGGAGATAGGATTTACGGAGGCCAGTTCACCGAACTGGACGAGTTCCCTTGGATGGCACTGTTAGGATATCGCACAAGTAAGTTGGAAATCATATCCAAGCTACCAAATACTAGAACAGTTAGAATCACTATTTATTAAAACAGAGAGAGAGAAACTTCGACCGGGCCCACTAGAGTGAGACGCCGTAGGCTAGACTTTGGTTCAGCACCGCGGTGGGCAACCCTCTACTTAATGAGGGCTATCGTTTTAGCGCTCACCAGTTGGCGCCACTGTAGTGTAAGGTCCTGTCACTTGCTAGTAGCGAAGACAGTGGCGCCAACTGGTGAGCGCTAAAGTGGTAGGAGGACTATCGCATTTGCACTCATCAAGATGGCGCCACTGTAGAGTAAGGTCCTGTCAATCGCCAGGGGTGCCAACTGTTAAGTATAAAAACGATAGCCCTCATTGGGTTCGCCACTGATCGGGAGCCTCGATAGAGAAAATTTGTAGTGACTTGTGACTTAATTTGACTGATAAAGTTAGAATTAAGATAGAGGAGGCTTATGCTTAGATCATCAATATCTTCAATGGAGTCGATTCACACTGTCTCGCGACTTACACCCAACATCAATGTCTTTAATCAGCTGGTGTGAAATTTGTATAGATGGATTTGCCAATTGAACTACTAATATATTTGTAAGTGATTCTTCTTTGTTTTAGTTAGTAAATATTGTTAGTTTCCTAACTATATTATATGTTTTAGAATCTGGAAGAATAACCTACCAGTGTGGTGGAGTGCTGATCAACCATCGATACGTGCTTACAGCTGCTCACTGCCTCATTGGTGCAGTGGAAAGAGAAATCGGAAAACTGTAAGTATCACAACTTCTGATTTCATTGGTTAGATTACACTGTTCTTTTTGCCTGAAGTATAGTAATTAGATTCTCACTCTAGTTTTTGGATCTAATTTAAGGACTCAAAAATTGGAGAAATTACTTTGTGACTGCTAAACCACAGCGTCATTGTATTAATTTTACTATCAGCATGATAGCATAGTAGTAGTACAATATTATTGAATACTAGCGGCCGCCCGCGACTTCGTACGCGTGGATCACGTTTTGCCCCCTTCATCTATCTTACGCGGTTTAGATTTTTTCACACAAATGATTTTTCCCGCTAACTCCCGTTCCCGTGGGAATTTTGCAATATCCTGTTGTAACTAAGCTTTAAGTTTACTAAGGTACCTGCATGCCAAATTTCAAGCGTCTAACTTAAGCGGTTTTGATTTTTCATACAAAAGGATTTTCCCGCTAATTCCCGTTCCCGTGGGATACTCCTAAGTATACTATAACCTGCCCAGGAGTATGAAGAATAATTGTACCAAGTTTCGTTAAAATCCGTCCAGTAGTTTTTGTTTTTATAAGGAACATACAGACAGACAGACAGACAAAAATTTTACTGGTTGCATTTTTGGCATCAGTATCGATCACTAATCACCCCCTGATAGTTATTTTGAAAAAATATTTCATGTACAGAATTGACCTCTCTACAGATTTATTATAAGTATAGATTGATTATAGTCAGCAGCAGCAGCAGAACAATTACACAATCAATGTGATTTTACACCTGGTAATCCCTTTACCGTAAAATCTATGTCAAAAGAAATGATTTCAATAATGACCGGTTGGTAACGGCCTCAATCCAGCGCCTTCCTGCTACCTTTATGAGGTTGTCGGTCTACCTTGTGGTTGAACATCCTACGCTGCGCTTTCCGGTACGTGGCCTACACTCCAGAACCTTGCTGCTCCATCGGCCGTCAGTTCTGCGTACTATGTGCCCTGCCCATTTCCACTTCAGCTTGCTTGTAGGGTATTTGCGTGGTTTTAAACATATCTTATATCTTCTCTGCACTTGCCATATGTTTGTCTCGAAGCGCTGGTAGGCCCAAAAGATAAGGCGACATGTAAAGTGCCCCTTTCTTCACCACTGGTGGTGGAAACAATTCAAAATGGAATAAAATATAGGTATTTGTTTTTTTAACAGGGTCACCGTCCGTCTAGGCGAGTACGACACACAGAGCGAGGTGGATTGCAGCGACGGCGTCTGCGCAGATCCGCCGCAAGAGATCCCGGTCGCAGAAAAATACCCCAACCGTGGGTACAACGACCAAAACACAAATAAGAAAGACGACATCGGCCTCGTTCGCCTTTCTCAAAGGGCCAGATATACCTGTAAGTGATTATCTATTATTTTTCATCATCATCATCATTTCAGCCATAGGACGTCCACTGCTGAACATAGGCCTCCCCAATGCTTTCCATGTTGATCGATTGGTAGCGGCCTGCGTCCAGCGCTTCCCTGCTACCTTTACGATGTCGTCGGTCCACCTTGTAGGTGGACGTCCCTCGCTGCGTTTTCCGGTACGCGTTTTTACACGTTTTAAACTTATTTAGTACATTCTACGTACGTATTTTTATTCTGAGACTTTATATTTGGTATGTGGGACACGACCTCTTCTATTTTGGGACAAAACAGAAACAGTAAACACATGTATCATAATACCTAAGTGGAATAGACTGTCGTCTACGGTGTTTCCGGTCTGATACGACCTGCAAACTTTCAAGAAGAGAACGTATCTTCACCTTCAAGGCCGGCAACGCACCCTTAACGCCCCTGGGACTGCGGGTGTCTATGGGCGACGGTAATCACTTAGCCTCAGGTGATCCGTCTGCTCGTTTGCCTCCTGTTACATTAAAAAACCTAACTTATAATTTACGTACTGATGAAGGTATTTACGGTATTTTCATCGCGGATTACGTATTCCGACTAGACAATAAGATAAAGTATTTTTATTCCAGTGTAAATGTTCAAAGTAACTTCAATCTAAATAGGCACTTACTCGTTGTAGGTTTTAATGCTAATCTTTATTTAGATAAGTGACGGTTTTGGTTGAAACCTTTGTTTATCTGCAGTGCAGCAGTGGGGCAAAAATAGGCTCTTTTTTCAAGTAACAAGGTTCACTATCATTAATTCCCCTTTTGTTCAGCATGAATAACTAACTTTTCTTGCAAACTTATTATAATAACCTATTAGTGTTCTGAGAATGAACAAATCGTCGATTTAGCCTCAATTGCATTGGCAAAGTTTTAAGCAGATGTCTTAGTGAAAACTTTGGATGGTCTAATATCTTGTAATCACGTAAATTATTAAAAAGACCTCTATAGTTTCATTATTAAGCTGAAATTTTCAAGAAATTTCATTAAAATTTTCAGTAGCTTTGCTTGCATTTTTAACGTAATGTCTAGGTACGACAATTTTAATAATAACATCTCTCTTAAATCAGTTTTAGGACTCTCTTACTGAGGATTATAAAAGAAATAATAAATTAATTAACACTGTTTTAGTCACCTTAGTAGGTAACACTTTTTGCGTTTTAGTCACATTTTTTAGCCATTTGTTGTTTTCTTCCATTATTAGTTTCAAATAGTTCAAGAGTTCAAATAACAACACTAGTAGTGTGATTATAAACAATTAATTAATGATCTTTTTAACGAGTAACATGTCATAAAAGTAGGCAATAAAATTTTATTGTTAAAAAGCAATTTAAATTAAATTGATAGTCATTATATAAAACGGTTTGTGTCGTATTACCTTTAAAAATTGAATCGAAGCACCAAATGACCATCTTAGGCAGAGTTGCACCACCTACCTAACTTTGTTGACCATAAATATGACGATAACCGGTGCTTTTTGTATGGAGTTTGACAGATTTTTGACGTTTGTCAAAGTTAAAATAAGATGGTGCAACCCAGCCTTAATATGTATGTACTCAACGGTACAGAAATAAACGCGAATCAAGTTAATGCACGATTTTTTTAATTTCTTTTTATATTATAATATTATTTACAGTCACCACACCAGCCTATTATTTCACTGAGTGTAAATGTTTATTCCAAAATAGCACCCAATATGACTTAAAGTTAATTAAACAAGGAAAAACAATATTTGTCGTGAATTGTTTAGCCATTTCTACTAAGTAAGTACAGACCGTTACCGGTTAGTCACCTTCCTTAGACTTGTCCAAGGTTATTTTTTTAGCATTAATCTTGTAAGTGTTAACTTGTCTGTATTAACACAAGTATTAAGTAGAGTTTAAAAAACCGGTTAAGTTATTGGAAATGGTGATATCTACACGTAAAAATGTCAACAAACAGACAGGCTTGGTAGTTCGCGCACCTAACAGCCTACCATGCCAGTAGCAGACTCGAATCCTACGGGATACAATAAATAAATAAATATCCTTGGACATTTTACACTGCGCCTCTGGTCCCAAACTAAGCAAAGCTTGTACTATGGGTACTTAACGAAGGATATAAAATAAACATACTTAAATACTTTTTTTTTGTAAATACAATAAATACATACATATTATACATAGAGACCTTGGACGAATAAACCACTTATTCGTCCAAGATAGAGACCCGTAACAGAAATTAAAATTCATCATTTCAATTTCTGCCAGGCCGGGAATCGAACCCGGGACCTCTCGGCATAGTAGTCCGTTCTGAACCACTACACCAAACGGCCGACACAATGTTTATCGTGATATTCATAATATTCATATTCATCCCAACTAATATTATAAATGTGAAAGTAACTCTGTCTGTCTGTCTGTCTGTCTGTCTGTCTGTCTGTTACGCTTTCCCGCTTAAACCTCGCAACCGATTTTGATGAAATTTGGCATAGAGATAGTTTGAGTCCCGGGAAAGAACATAGGATAGTTTTTATCCCGGTTTTTGAAACAGGGACGCGCGCGATAAAGTTTTTCTGTGACAGACAAAATTCCACGCGGGCGAAGCCGCGGGCGGAAAGCTAGTATATGTATATATGTATTTCATTTCAGTCAAATGACGTCCACTGCTGGACAAAGGCCTCCCCGTGAATAACCCCAACGACCGGTCCTGCGCCGCCCGCATCCGCATTCATATATTTATTTGCACACACATAAAGGGACCATATACCTGATTTGTGTGTTAGTTGGAAAAACCTATTACCAAATGCATACATATTTAACAGATCTCGACGTTGCATTGTAATAATTACTGTGAAAAGAAATAGTGGTGTGTGTAGGTTAACCACTTATGTTGTCTTTTTAATAATAGCCATATCATATAAGGATGAATAGCCATATAGGTATAGCAGATAATATCATCTAGGTAGGTATTTTACATTTCCATGGCTACTTGCAGTTTGCCATGGCCCAGTCACATGTAGTATGCGGAAAGATTTATTTATTTATTTATTGCTTTTCCACGATGGATTCGAACTCGAACGAAGCAATTAAAAAAAAAACACATTTAAAAATACATATTTGCCAAGTTATTGCTATAAATAAGAATTGACAGTAAAAATAATCAAAATCAAGGTCAAATAAATATGATGGTTTAGACTTTAGACTAATACTTTTCCTAGAATTCACGCTCATGCTAGTTGGTCCTGATTTCAAATTAATAAATAAAAAACAAGGCCGAGATGATACTGAATACGCATGACTACGCTGACTCAAAACCGAACACAAATTGTGATTGGTACTTAATTTCTGGACAAAACCTTGGGGGAGGCCTTTGTCCAGCAGTGGACGTCATTTGGCTGAAACGACGACGACTTAATTTCTACCTACTGTTTCAATACTCAATCTTTTATTGCATAACAACATTAGCACATTCACATTAGGTCTTACAATTTAGGCAGTAGTTTCTTAGGAAAAAAAATGTAGGCTGGCGCAAGAAAAGCTAGTAAGCTCTAACTTACGAAGCATCGCTAAAGTCGAGGCTGTAATAAACAGGGTTACTGTTAATCATAAACTGAATTATCAGGCAGCTCATTATTATGAACATCTTATAAAGTGAGATCAATGACAAAGATAAAAAAAGCTTTTTTAAACATTTTGGTTAAATCAGACACGGGCACAGAACCGTTCGTTATGGAAATCCTTGGGGACGGCCTTTGTCCAGCAGTGGCCATCCTTTTCAACCGACTTCAAAAAAGGAGGAGGTTCTCAATTCGACCCGTATGTTTTTTTTTTCTATGTTTGTTACGCGATAACTCCGCCAATTATGAACCGATTTGAACAAATCTTTTTTCGGCGTATAGGTAATACCTCAAGGGTGGTCCCATTTAAATTTAATAATAGAAAAAACAACCCGCAAGGTTGGAAAATTGGGGATGAACTTTTTTATACGCAATATTTTTGATTTTTAGTTTTTTTTTTGTGTTCACGCATTTGAAGTCGGTTTTATTTTTAAAAAAAGTTAATTATATTGACATGAATGAACGATAGAAACTTTCTGTGCAGAAAAGATTTTAGATCTGTTTTAAGCTTTTTATTTTTTACTAGCTTCGTACGCGTGAAAATAGTTTTAATGATAGGTATTTCCCGTTTTAGCAAAATTTTTCTTTACTGCTCGGCCCCTATTAGCTGTAGGGTGATGTCAAAATTAGGGTAAAATCTTCCTCGATAAATGGGCTATCCAACGAGATTATCGCGTCGTCCAAGCAAATAAACAAAAAACTCACAAACTCTTTAGCTTAATAATATTAGTATTGACTAGCGGCCGCCCGCGACTTCGTACGCGTGGATCCCCCTTCATCTATCTTACGCGGTTTAGATTTTTTCAAACATTTTGTTTCCGTTAACTCCCGTTCCCGTGGGAATTCCTAAGGATACTATAACCTGCCCAGGAGTATGAAGAATAATTGTAGGTTATAATTATAAATAGATTTCATGTTCAATTGACCTCTCTCCAGATTTATTATAAAGTATAGATTACTTTACTGGATCAGTTTTCCGTGGTTTTAAATTAATTTTTTTGCTTACAGACTACGTGAAGCCGATCTGTCTGCCCGGCGCGAGCACTCGACTGAGCCCAGGCTACGAGGTATACGTCGCAGGCTGGGGAAAAACCTTACAAGGTAATATTGATTCGCGGTCCGCTTGAAATTCCGTGAACTTGCACAGGGTTATACAGGGTCATTATGGAATCATGTGCGTTGTACAGGAATCAATATGGGGAGTTTTAGAATGGTAATTTCCATAGCAGTAGTAGGGAATAAGTAATACTTAGGTAAGATTTTACTTTCGCGCTTCATTAGGTTCACAAAACCGAGGGCAAATAGTACCAAACGCGACATTTCATAATGTAGTAAAGATAGTTATTAAAATTTTTAGCGTTAAAAATAGCATCTCGAACTAAATTTTCAGAGAGCAGACGCCCAGCAAGTAAAAGATCGTGGGTTCGATTCCCACCATAGAAAATTAGATTTTTTTTTAAAGTTATTTAATGTAGTAAAGATGTACAAGAGTGACACTCATGATATTTTATTTATTACTTTAAATGTAGATTGCTGATATTTTGTGCAAAAGAAGAATGGTTGAAGAATACTAAGAAATTACAATTAATGTTTATCTTCCTTAAGTAAGTTTCTACTAATTACAAATCATCACAACTTATCTGTCAGTTATTTATGAGTAAGTCGATTATTATAAGATCTAATGAGGATCATTTCGATTTTTAGCTGTGAATGCAGATTTATAGGGCTAAGAAATCCTTAATACACAGTTCAAAAATTTTTGTTCTACGACAAAAATTGACGAAGTTATGGCCAAATTACTAAAAAAGTTCACTGACCGCCCGGCGCGGGGACGATGACGTCATTATATCCGATCCGAACGCTGCCGGCGTACTGCGTGGATAGAAAATATTTTTTTCTAGCCAAATTATCAGTTTTAGAGAAAAACTTGTAATGACATTTATTCATCAGAATAAAGTAAGCTATCGATAGGTAATTTTTAAAAATGGAAATTGTGAAAAATAACGCAAAAAATCCATACGCTCATACGATTCAATGGCACGCAGAGACGCGATTGGGGTCTCCGCGGTGGTATATTTGGCGATTTATTCAAATAAAGTGTACATAAGTGTTGTTAGAGTCATATCTTCTTCCAAGTAAAATATAAAAATGTATAAGTATTAATTTATTTACTTCTAACAATAAGGTATAACTTCTAACAATATTGGACATAGAAATACTTATTTTTTACAATTTTTATTTTTAAAAATTACTGGTCGATAGGTTACTTTATTTTGAAGAATAAATGTTATTAAAAGTTTTTTTCTAAAACTAATAGTTTAGCCGGAAAAAAATATTTTCCATCCCATTAGTACGCCGGCTGCGCTCGATTCGGATATAATGACGTCACGCGGCCTTGCGTACGTTGACTTTTAGCGGCAAAAACGGCCTATGTTTATTACTTAATATCTTTGTAAGTAATGGTCCGATTTGGATAATTCAAAAAGATATATCTTTCTTATGTCTTAAAGATTAACGTAGATACTAGTTTTATTGAATTTTCTACAACAGTACTGATCCTCATTATCAACACGTGTGTGTATGGTTAGATTTTTAAAGCACATTGAAATGTCAATAAAATTAAAGTCTTATTTTGTATAGTAAGGCCAGAAAATTATTATACATATTGGTAGATTCAGTATGTACAACTTTTTTGTATCGACTTTTTGTGTTTAAACACTTACGAAGAAGTGAATGTAAAAACAAATACCTACAGGTTTTTAAAGGGTAATTCCTTTCTCTTGAATAATTTAAGAGGAAATGTCTGTATTATTTCAATATTGTAATATTAAATGGCCTTGTGAACGAGATTTCGAATTATTGTGTGAGTCAGAGGAAAAACACAATTGGAGTAAAAATAGATTTTTATCCTCAATTTGTTAAATTGATTTTAAGATATTGAGATAAATGTTTCGATTTTGACCTTTCCTAAAATTGTAGGGTTAAACTTACAGGCAATAACAGGTGTAAAAAAAGTCTATCCAATAACCTTTTTGTAATGTTACTTGGTTTGGTGTACAGAATGCGTAGTTTCAGTCTTCGGGATACGTTTTACACCCTGTATTTATCAAACTTTCACCTTTTCAGGTACAAACAGTCCAGTAAAACTGAAGCTGCAACTGCCTGTATTTGAGAAGAACGAGTGCGTTAACAAATACAAGAACCTTGGGGCGAACCTGATTGACAAACAAATTTGTGCTGGAGGAAACTTCGCGAAGGACGCTTGCAGGGGTGACTCCGGCGGTCCTCTCATGGTGAGGACACCTCAGGGTCACTGGGAGTCCGTGGGAATCGTCTCGTTCGGATACGGTTGTGGAAGAGACGGCTGGCCAGGAGTGTACACTTCTGTCGCCGCCTACAAAGACTGGATACTAAGCACGATGAGATCCACTAATTCATAAGACGATTTCGATAATAGGCTCAATTTTTATCTTTAGTAAATCTTTGGAATTTACACTGTGTTTTCTTTCAGGCTTGGTAAAGATGTCACTAATGATGAAACCATGTTGGGTCAAAATTTTTGTTAGGGTTACCCAAATAGTAAATAATGTATTTTTTTAAATCTAAGAGGAGACTGGGCCGATTTGGTTGTAGGTATGTAACTATTTGCGTTACTTAATATTGTCCTAGGTAGACTTTATACATAATAATACCTAATTCAATTAGGTATAGTGTCACGTAACAAGGATCACATTCTTCGAATTAATCACATACGGTAGATATCATTAAATACAGAAATATAACCTCATTAGATTTTCCCGTCAAAGGAGGAAAACCCGACTTATTATGAAGCATATCATAATAACACCTTATAATAATAGAAGCAAACAATTCAATCTAAAAATAACAGTGACTAAAATCGTAAAATAATAATTATGCAGAAATATCAAGGACTTAACTAGAACTTTAAAAAGTGCTTTAGTTAAATATTAAATATAATTTATTTATAGTAGGTATCAGGCGTTACTTTGCGGAAATTCTAATATTACAAATTTAAAAAAAATTATTATAAGCAGTAAAATAGTTTTTTTTTGTTGTGAACAGCGGAAAGATTTTATAAAACATTGTTATTGTCTTATTGCAGTAATGATAGTACCTACATACCTAATTGCGATTTTAGCACCATAAAATATTTTTTAATTGGATAAACGAGTCTTCGCGCTTCGTGAGAAATAATTTAAAAAATACAAAGTTTACCCAGACTTCAACCTAAAAAGCAAACTTCGCGGTTTGAATAACATTTTAAGCATAATTTGCATAAAAACAAGAAAAATAGAATCCTCCTAAACGCAGTGTCCAAATGATGAAATATGGATAACGATCGGCCATGTTTCAGCATCAGGATCGGCTGTCGCAGGTTATCGATGGTCTAAGTATTATTTATGCCGTCTCTGAGTGGGTGACACCCCTGCTATTTGCCAATGCCTCCATCTGATTTATCACCTCCTGTGGGTCTAGACAAAGTGCAAATTATAATCGCAAACCAGTCGAAAAGTGGTCGAAAGGCCCCTTTTTTGTATGGAGTTTTGACGGTTTCGATTTTCGATTCGATCAAAAAGTGCGTTTTGTCTAGGGGGGCTGGTATTTCCAATAAGTTTTTTCAGATTAAAAACTATTTGGATTTCGCACTCGTGAATGCGAGTGCAAATCAAGCAAATCTTTTTCTTTTTGTGTCTTTTCTTTTTTTTTATTTGTGGCTTCGTGCGGTTTGCACATATAGCCAGTGTCAAGTTTAATAAAATTCAAATGTAAATAAGATTCAATTGATGAAAATTAAACAATGAATGGTAATGATAGATGAGATGAAAGCTGACGCGGACTTCTTGAGAGAACTTAAAAATTTATGTTGCACTGTTTTATTTCATTTGTCTACACTCATGTACGTTCACGAACAGTGAGAACACTTAATCCCAACTAATCCCAACTAATATTATAAATGCGAAAGTAACTCTGTCTGTCTGTCTGTCTGTCTGTCTGTCTGTCTGTCTGTCTGTCTGTCTGTCTGTCTGTCTGTTACGCTTTCCCGCTTAAACCTCGCAACCGATTTTGATGAAATTTGGCATAGAGATAGTTTGAGTCCCGGGAAAGAACATAGGATAGTTTTTATCCCGGTTTTTGAAACAGGGACGCGCGCGATAAAGTTTTTCTGTGACAGACAAAATTCCACGCGGGCGAAGCCGCGGGCGGAAAGCTAGTGGTTAATAAATCTACTATTAATACAATAATAAAACAAAACTCCTTCACTTTTCCGCCAAAAAGTCAAGTCATCTTGTTCTTTTTGCGTCCTTTCTTGCTGTTTGACATTCAAGCTTATTTTAAAACGACTTTGCCAGGTCTAAAGTTCAAGTACCTATTTAATTGAGTAGGTACCTACTTTTTGTTTCCACAAAAACCTGCTTTGTTACGTTGCCCTCATGTAGTTCCAATAACGAAACCAGTCAATCTCTCATTTTCTTACTCCAAAACAAGTACCCAAACATCGCCGAGTTCTTTCTAATCATTCCTAACAAAGCCAAAGTTTCCCAAACTGTAATGAACTCATTCATTTCGGGATCGTCCGAATACGTTCTCGCTAAAAGGTTTTTTCAGACTCGCACTTTATTGATATAAATGACTGTCGCCGGGCTATTGACATGGGCATAAATCAAACGGAATCAAATTAGGGTGTTCGCTTATATTCAGAATAAAATTTCTTATTGCCAGGTACTTATTTACTTTTCTGCAAGCTACTGGCTGGCGGCTCGAGTCGATATATTGTTTTATTATTAGTTTCACAAGTGTTTATTGGTCATTTATAAAAAAACTTTATAAAATACGCTTTATTATATCAATTTAAGACATAGAAAATAGTAATTGACATGACAATGAATGAAAATAGGTAAGTTGCATTTTATAACAGGTAAGTCTCATAAAAAAACTGTAATCTACAGGGTGGAAACGATAAGTGATCTCACTCGATTATTTCTAAACTATACAAGATATCGAAAAACTGATTGCTGATTCTGAAAGTGCTTCACAAGCTCTTTCAAACGGTACCAATAATAGGTTACAGAATAAACTGGAACTATCCGAAAATTCAATGTTTCCAGCTTCCATACATTTGGTAAAGTTACATAATATTAAAAACTACACAAGATATCGCAAAACTAGTTACTAATCCTAAAAGTGCTTCACGAGCTCTATCCAACGGTATCAACAATTGCTTACAGAATAAATTGGATCTATCCAAAAATTAATGTTTCCATCTTCCATACATTTAGTACTATCACAGTCATGGCACTCATCTCTTGATAATATTATAGCAAGTACAGCCTAATACTAATGTCTTCATCAAATAATTTTAAATAAGATGCAAGTTACAAGTTTATTTAACCGACTTTTTAAGTTTATTATTAAACAAAAAATAAATTTACTTCTAATATTGTGTGGCTGGCATACATTTAGTATGGAAGCTAGAAACATTGAATTTTCGAATAGTTCCAGTTTATTCTGTAACCTATTATTGGTACCGTTTGAAAGAGCTTGTGAAGCACTTTCAGAATCAGCAATCAGTTTTTCGATATCTTGTATAGTTTAGAAATAATCGAGTGAGATCACTTATCGTTTCCACCCTGTATATAAATAAAAATGAATTGATGTTCGTTAGTCTGATTAAAACTCAAGAACGGCTGGACCGATTGAGCTGATTTTGGTTTTAAAATGTTTGTCGTAGTCCAGGGTAGGTCTAAACGGTGAGAAAATACGCGCGCGATATTGTTTTTCTGTGACAGACAAAACTCCACGCGGGCGAAGCCGCGGGCGGAAAGCTAGTTAGTATAAATATAACTCATCCAATTATTATATTTATAAGGCACAGCTTTAGAAAGCCTACGAAACATTAATTTAAGCCACAACACTGATATATTAATATCATACTGATATGTGAATTACGTATAAACGTAAACAAACTGTCAATACTTATAAATTAATCAATTAAATTCTTATTTCCGCTCGCTCTCCATAGGAATCCGCAGACCGCAATCGGAAGTACCAATCATTATTTACCGTCAGTGCTTAACCGGATTGAGCGCTGCAAATGGACCGGTAATGATCTACATCTACCGGACCCGCTGGACATTGGTTCCCAAACATTGGAATAAGTAGCCCCCAGGAGTAAATCAAGGAATACCTACGAAAATATGGAAAAGCTTAGTTCGGGATTACTTCACACCAAGATATGGATGTGATGTTTATTACTATTATTAAATTTTATTTTGATAACATAGGCGTTCCAATTAAGATTAAAAAAATACTTTACGAGTAAACTCTGATTTTTAATTCGACGGAATTTTGACATTTCAGAAGTGTTGTCAACATTGAAACATTCCCATTAGGAATGGAGAGCATTTTCACAAATTAAAAAATAATCCATTCTTGAATTTATGGTTTCACTTAAAAAACTAAGGCTTAAAAATGTACTGATCATTTCAAAATGGTTATTTGAATTTTTATTATCATATTTTTGAAGTTACAAAAAAAGTTGGGAAATTATTTTTCTATTACTGGACTCCCTGGCCAATAATCCATGGGTTACAAACCTTTTTTATGAAAATCCTTTTGTTAATAAAATCTTAGCTTTATAAAATAACCAATTTAACAAGATGCCAATTTTATAATCCAAGTTGATTATGACGACGATAATGATTATTGATGATTAGTACATATTTTCGTTTATGATAATATGTTGTTTTACTGTGTTAAAACACGTTTTTTTCTATTTAATCTCTAAAATGTACATAATAATTAGTGTACATTGAATTGACAAAACAAACAATAGTTCATTCTTGTAAGTTGTACTTGATGAAATTTCATTTCATATTATTTATTAATATTTCAAAGCAAAAAAGGCTTATTACATCTGAATTGTCAAAAAATGACAGCTGTCAGAATTCCGTCGAATTAAAAATCGGACTATAGGTATAATTTGAAGGTTTATTCTGCAACCGCGGCATCTCATGGAGTTAGAATTGATGCCAATTTTTAACACAAATGTATAGTAAATCAGATTAAAAACTGATTGGGAATTGCTGTCTAGAGATAATCAGTTGATTTACGAATCATTTAATCGCTTTTTATTTCAGGAAATGGTGGAAGGAAAATGTCCTTTAACATTATTTCTAAAACTTTTATTCTAAAAAATACTCATTACTAGCACGAAAGCATGCCACTATTGAGCAATTGCTACTTAGACTTAGTAGCATGTACGTCGAAAAATTGCTAATTTATAAGCATGTGGAGTTTTCCTGCGTGATCGAATCAGAAATGACGAGATCCGCAGGAAAACCAAAGTGACCGACATAGCCCGCAAAATTTGTCCAGCAGTGGACGTCATTTGGCTGAAACGAAATTAAGCATGACATTTTATGAACTGAAAATAAAGAGTGACAATAATGTAAACATCTATGGTCTGAGACG